TTTTTGTAATATTATAAGTATCTAATGAATTTTTTTAATTGAAAGAGGAGAAATTCTTATAAGATTTCTTGTATCATTAAAACATAAAGTTAATCATGAAGAATAACTAGCAGCGAATTTAGTACGCTTCCAAGAAGCCTTAGGCAAAATCAAGTTCCATTTGAATTAAAATTACTTTTTAATTTGAATTTTGTAAGTGTATATCATCAGTTACTAAAATTTCAAAAAGGAAGAAAAATTTAAACAAAAATTTTTTAAAAGTATTCTATATTTTCGGACAAAAAGAGTATTTTATTTAAAAAAAGGCTAATATGAATTATTGACTGTTCATAGTAGGAATTGATACACATAACGTGATAGTTGTTAATGGCTATTTCATATTAGGAATAATTGTTGTGTAATATAAAATAATTAACTTTGAATCACGTTTTTACTGCAGATTGATCTTGAGAAGCGGTAATTTTATATCTAGTTTCGAAAGAGGAGATATAAATTAATGATTTTGTAATTTATATCATTTTTATTAGTTAACTTATGAATAGATTTATCTAAAAATAAGAAAAAATAAAATATTCTATATTTTTTTATTCTAAATGTAATACATTACTTATAACGTACTTATACTCTAGCTCATGGTGTAAAAAGCTTGAAACAATTTCGTAGAATAAATAAATAGGTTAAATAGTAATATTTTTCACATATCTGAATGATTTCAAATTAAAAAATTTTTTTTATTTTTATGAAATGAGGTCCAAATAATATACAAGCTAAGGAATTGACCTAAATACATTTTTTTGAGCGAAGCTAGTTCTTCTAAATTGTTTATGGGGCATTCCATGCCAAATCACCGAGGTTTCGGCCCGACCCCCTTCGATTTCGCTGAAAATTTTTTATCATTTTTTTTTAATTTTATTTTTTATTGTAGTTTTCAGAAAAAAATAAAAAAAAATATTTAAAAGTTAGGAGATATGAAATATTTTCGTTTTTTCAATAAAACCGTCATTTTTTCGAAGTTCGGTACCTTCGATTTTCAATTTTTTTCTCAAAAAAAACTTCAACTAATAAAGTATTTAACCCCCCTATTTAGATTTTGTGCCGACTTTTCTTTCTATTTTTTTTTCGATTGAAAAAAAAAAATTCTAAAATTAGCTTATTTTACATAACTTAGCGTTAAAATTTTTTTGGATTGTTTTTAAAATCTTAAAAGTTGAAAAAAATTGTACAAAAACAATCGTAAAGTGTATTTACAGCCAGGATTGAGTTATTTTATTAAAGTATCGTTATTACAACGTTAAAAATTTAAATATTATAATTATTTTCCTCGATTTAACGATGGTTTTCTTGGTTTCTTAACTGTACTGTGTTGTGTGGATTGTTCCGACGAAGAAAAAGACTTAACTATTACAACAAAATTCAATAATGGAGTAATTTGATAGATTTTGTGTATCGCTGGTATCGGTTTAGCATTTTTGAAGCGTTCCTCTAGTTTCTCTTTCATGGAATTGTATTCTTCAGCTTTTGAAAATCTAATATTAANCCGACGAAGAAAAAGACTTAACTATTAAAACAAAATTCAATAATGGAGTAATTTGATGAATTTTATGTGTCGCTGATATCGGTTTAGCATTTTTGAAGCGTTCCTCTAATTTCTCTTTCATGGAATTGTATTCTTCAGCTTTTGAAAATCTAATATTAATATTTGGTAAATTTTTCAAAGCCCACTCAAATAGTTGTGATGGTGTTAGAATTTGTAGATGAGGTGGCAATTGTAGGCTAGCACGTGCAGCTATTCGTTTCAAAGTACCACCTATTCCATCACATGGACCTTTACCATGTTCCATAGCGAAAAAATTCCACTCTACGTTTATTCCGAATTCTTCATTGTAATGAGATAAATTAACAAAATGTTTGAAATTTTTATACTGTTGTAGCGCGCTACCTGAGAAGAAAAAAATTTTACCAACTCCAGATGACAAAGATTTTATGAAATCAATAATGACCCCAGAGTACAAATGAACAGCAATTGCATCATGATTCAAGCAATCAGAAATGATTGCCATACTCTGATGAGTAAGTTCATTGTTTTTTTTTTATAATAAATAACCACAATATAAACCGTCGCTTGGTCGTTATTCCAGTGAAATCCTGGAGCAGCATCTTGAACCACGAAGAATAGTTTTCGGCAAAGTCAACTATGACTATGAATTCGTCTTCTTTTAAACATTTTTTCACTTGTCTCAAGCATGCTGCTTGCTCTTTGGCGATGAAATTGTGTGGTAAAAGAGCCTTAAATTTTTCACCGAAATCATCAACAAAATCATTTGTGTTCTTGCTTGTCGTTTCAAGAGTTACTCGTGGAGCTGAGACCCATTGTTTATAATTGATTTCATCAATTTCATTATCTTCCATCAAAGTTAACAGATGTTCTTTCACTTTTTCGACGCCTGGACATTGAGAACAATCATTGTAGGATTCTAATGATAAATCCGTGCCTTCAGTTAAACGTTAAAAGTTGCCGCGTGTTGGAAATATAAGAAAGTGATACAAATGCGAATAAAAACATCAAGTCGATTACATTAATTACAAACGTTCTAAGTACTGATTTGTAATAAAAGAATAATTTAAATCAGTGGCGTCAAATTTATTTCTCTACTTCTTAACTTACCTAAGATCATCAGTTTTATATTTTAATGAATGGAGCAAACACAAACTGTATGAGTGCCACAACCGCCAGCTAAAATACAATACTTCAGACGTAGAGATGCAAAAGATGAAAATCCAATTTTGATTTCTGGATATCTTGACTAGAAGGTTTTGTGCAACTCTTTTAAATTACAAAGCACTATACGTTTTTGACACTGAACTTTAGTACCATTATCGTTTCGTAGTGAAATAAAATCTTATTTTCCTGGCATCATACTACTCATCTCATCGTCATTGTAGAAATTTGTCACGATTGAAACTACTGTAGAAGATAATTCACGTCCTAAAAATTTGAATACGTCGAAGAATTTACTTGTTAATTATTAAAAACCTTACTGACTTGTGGTTTTGTATCTTACCAGTTTTTTTTGTAGGTACTGACAAAATTCCAACGGCAGCAACTAGGTTTTTTGCTACTCGCACTATATGCTCACTTGCACCCATGACTTCCATAACTTTATGAACGCTCCAACTCGATGGTAGTAAAGTCAATATTTTGACGCGTATGGATCTACTCGTATTATCAGCGTTAAATTTTTCTCTCAAACTGTTTATCATTTCAGTAGCATCCATATCACTGAATTCGGTTTTCATACGATTTTTTACTCCTAAAGCTTTTCAGAAATTTTGAGCGACACGAGTAACTTTGTCATCCAAAAAATACGTTTCATAGATTCTTCTTTTCGCAGAAACAGGAGATTGATTTAATAGTACTAACGCTTCGTTAATGGTCGGAAGAGTAATACTGAGACTCATCTCAGACAATGAAGAACTACGCTGTTGAATAAGTAATTCCTGGCCACTTGATGACGGAGCTAAAAAAACAAACAAGTTATAAACTGAAACAAATGAAATATTGAAGATGTATACTTGAAGCAAAAGTATCTGGCGATTTGTCAACGTGAATGATTCCGTCGTTGGAATTCTCATTAGCTTCCAAACTTTCATTAGATTCATCATCAGTATCTTCAGTTAAATTATCTGCATATTGCTTCAGTAATTCCTTATGACATGGACTGCATACACGGTCATCAGTTGATAGATGGAATTGAATAGCCAAATACTCAGGCAGACTTCGTAGAGATTTTGTCTCATTATGTTTATCACGATTCATTGGATTACAGCAACGATTAAATAATTTCGGCATTTTAATTATTGTTAATCAAGAAATTAACAACATTTTGAAAGATATATATAAACTTAACCTTTTTTTATATGTACTTGATGCTTTAGACAAAATGATAAGACTAGATGTTTGTAATGGTGTGAGTTTTTTAAGAAAATAATTCAAATTAGTTTTTTTTAAATATAAAAATAAAATGAATATAAGAGTTTGATAGAAAACTCATTGATCAGGATATAAAAACTTTATTCAATTATTTTCATGGAAGTCGATTCAAAATCAACAATTTTAGTTTTAAATATACAAGCCCGAAAATTTAAAAAGTAAATAACTTATCTTTTTCACGATGTTTAATTAGTGATTCGTCATTTMCACTTAGAGGTTTAAAAAGTATTTTCTTGTTAAAAGATTTTGCAAACTATTCTGTGCATTTCTTTTAGTAAATTTATTAAATTTATTAAATTTATTTAGTAAATTTATTAATAAGATAGTTAATCAGTTGCTTAAATTTCTTAGCCTTCTTGATATTCATATAACCTTCAAGTTCTACAGAAAAAACAAGTACTTGCTTAGTACCTCCCCAGCCTGATAATGGTTTTTGGAAAATATTTAATGCACAATGCAACGCAGGAAATAATTACGAAGGAAAAGAAGAAGAGACAGAATTATCTTTTCGATCCGTTTTGCTATTCAAATGTAATCCGGGCTATGAAATAAAAGGTTGTYCTATTGCAATTTGTGGTTCCGGTGGAAATTGGAGTAATATTCCAGTGTGTATAGTTAAGATTTATAAATTTTATTGTAGCAGAGAAGTAATCAATATATACACGATATGTTTTTTCTAGTATATTGAATATATTCGTAAATGATTCTTTGATCATTGTAGAAATAGGTTGCAAATCGTTAGCCTCAGTATCAACTAATGCTATTTGTAAATTTAATGGTCACAGTGTTTCTTGTGAATCTCCAGTTTTGCCTGGAACATTAGCATTATTGAACTGTAACAAAGATTATCAGAAAGYTGGAGGTTTTCTATCAACACAAGGAAATCAAGTAAARTGTGACGAAAGARGCGAATGGGAACCMGAACCACTWCAATGTTTACCAGGTGCGCTGTTTTTTAATGTTCATCTTGGTTGTAGCAGGATAAAATTGTAAACTTATGATAAGAAAAATGACTCAYYTACTTCATAATCCTAAGTACTGTCATTCGRAATTATAATACATGCAAGTAATCGTAATTGAAATAATTCTGATATTTAAGAATGAATAGTAAACTCACACAAGTTGTGTTACACAAAAYCMGAAATAATTCCAACTATACTTACATAAACGTGATCCTWAACGCTTATATAATATATTCAGAAAAACATTTTTCTAGAAGTATTATTAGATTTTAACATGCAAGAAATAATTTCTACTAGTTTTATCTTAAGGTATCATTTGTGAATTAGTTTTATTACACATTATATAATAATATCAATAAATATTACATAATGGAATATCATTAAAAAGTCATACTAATAAACTATAAAATTTGTCAAATAATGCATGATAATTTTTATTTAATTTCATTTTTTAGTATGCGAAATTTTTCCTGCAAGACGAGACGCTATCCTAACAAAAGAAGCATGGGCCAGCGCCCATTATATTCCATGGGATATTAATTTATATCTACAAAAACTCCAAACGAACCGAAGGTATTTATTTRCGGAGCAACAATTATAAAAGAGAATTGAATTCTTACCGCAGCGCATTGCGTTTACGACGAAATCAATCRAAGGACATAAAACCTAAATAAATATCATATAGCTACTGGAAACATTCTTAATCATCGTAGCTATGATTATGTTCCACATAACCAGCAATACGTTCATAAGTCTGAAGTATGTGGAAAATTTTTATGAACTTACTTTAATATCAAATTAAATATTACATGTTAAAATATTATGTACATTAACTATATTTAAGATAAAATAAAGTTAATAATATATTATTTTTCAGGTGAAAAACATTTACATTAATACAAGATATTTGGGACTAAAAGGAAATTTGACTGCGGACATTGCAATCTTGGAAACTGAAACGCYTTTTGTATTCTCAGATTTCTTATTACCAATCTGTTTAGACGATACTTTTATTGAGGATGGAATAAATAGAATAGAACAATTTGGTAGAGGCGTTTCTGGACAAAATAGTTTTTATCTACAACACGCATCATTTCTTTATCTTCCGCTAAATCAATGCAATTCTTCAAATAATGCCATGAAATCTGATAAATACAAGTAATGGGATAAATTTTGCGTTGGTCTTATAGATGGTCGATAGCAAATCAAAATCGATTTACAACATTTAGCATTTATGTAATTATTATCTAACAATTAATATTTGTATTCTAGGACGGAATCCCTGTGAAGGTGTCGTCGRAAGTGGACTGATTTATGAAAGTAAAAGTATGTGGTTTCTAAGAGGTATTTTTAGTATCTCTTTAAATGCAACACGGATGGATGGTTACGTTATTTGTGATAGCAAATCATACTTTCTATACACTCGTATATCCAACCATACYAGATGGATCCGTGATATATTATTAAAACTAGAAAGATCTGAGCAAGCCACATTCGTGAATCAACTCTAACAAGAACGACTGCAACAACACCTGCCCCATTCATACGACCTTCACTAAATACTACAACCACATCTTCCCTATGGATCACAACACCCATTGTTTGCAAGGCGCCTTTCAAGCCAGAGAATGGTAATCATCAATTACATGAGTCACAATGCCAATCAAAAGAAGATTGCGATGTGCAGGAAGGTGTAGAGTTACCTGCAGGGTCTTATCTTATTTATAGTTGTTTTCTTGGATACAAAATAAATGGTTCCCGTGACGTTTTTCGTAGCGTAAGTGGAAAATGGATAAATATTCCAGTTTGTATTGGTATAAATTTCATTTTGAATATTTTTATTACAAGAATGATTTCAATATTGTCATGTGTATATTATGTTTTTTGTATCACTTTAAACTATTTTCTTTGTGTTCTTTCTAATTGTTTTTATTATCTTAGAAATACTTTGTGATYCATTGGTTTCTGCATCAACATATRCTGAATGTACATATAACAACGAATGGGAATTTTGCGAGTCTGWWATTAAACCTGAARCAATAGCTMAATTAAGTTGCAGAAACGGTTATAAGAGAGATTTGAATGTCCTATCMACACAAAGRGATCAAGTTAGATGTAACGRAAAAGGTCAATGGACACCAGATCCGATARAATRCATACCAGGTCTGCAARCTTTTAATGTTCACATCGGAACATTATATATGTTCATTCTGAATATTTGGGCTCAGCAGGGAATTATGCTTATGATATAGCTCTCTTGGAAATTGACGAGCCATTTGTATTTANTGTTATATCTTCATTCCACAGCGTGTCTGTCTCATGTACCTCATTTGAAATATTGACATTGTCAGTATTCTCTGAATCAGAAGATGATGATGTTGATAAACCCATATTATTTGACAAAAATAAATTAGGGGTACTCTCCCTTGAATTTTCATTGAACTGTCCAAATCCTATCACAAGAATTTTCATCAAATTCATTTCTTTCATTTTCAATTATTTTAATAATACACTTACCTCTATCTCCATCTGAATCAGAATCAGTGTCATCAAATAATTCCAAAATCCGCCTACGCTTCTTATATGAATTCATTTTTCTTCAAGAAATTTTAAACGTAAATCGAAAAACTGCTGTTTTCACTTTGATCTCGAATATCACAATGAAGCAGACAACGGAAATAAAACGTTCGCTACCGTCGCAGCATATACAATGTATGCGACGCTTCGATTGTTCTTTGGRGGCCCGAGGCCGCAAATACGCGACGTCTTTTCTCATTTGTTTTACAACAGTATCTTGCACTTATTTTTAGCCGAAATTTTTGTAAATCCAATGTCCAATACAGATGCTATAGCATCCACGTCAAGTATTACGCTTCTATTTTWCRCAATGTGCTTGCCTAAGCAAATTTGTAAATACACAGAGAAAAGATAAGATAATACGAAAATACCTAAAGAATGAGTTAGTCACTACCTTGACAGGTATAATAATTACAAAAACTTAAGGTCATATAAAATTGAATTAAAAATAATTGACTTTAAGATTTGAATGCTGTAGCATTCATGTCATTCTGCATCATCATGAAAATGAATGCTATAGCATTCACGTCCGCGAACGTGTTAATTCGTCGTTAATTTATTTTTTATTATTTATTATTTTTGGTAAATTATTAATACACGCTGCGCCACACGCGTCACTTAGGCACGGTTAAAAAAGGCAAGGAATGCAGGCTCTGTACCGACTGGGTAATTGCTCGCTTGCCGGCGGATACCGGTTATCCTTCGCGACGTCGTGGGCGATCCCTGTTTTACCGACTTCGATAAAAAAAAATTTTAATTACCGACTGTAACCACTTTTGGTCACTAATTTATTTTATTTTATTTATTGCCTTTTTTTTAATTTTATTTTATTTATTGACTTTATTTATTTTATTTTATTATATTTATAACCTTTTCTATTTTTTTAATTTATTTATTAACTTTTTTATTTATTTTATTTATTTTATTTATTTTATTTATTTACTTTTTATTTATTTCATCTTATTTTATTTATAACCTTTTAATTTATTTTATTTTATTTTTTCTATTAACTTTTTCGTGTACCTTAATTTATTGACATTTTTATTCTATTTCTTTTAATTATTACCTTATTATTTATTTTATTTTATTTTATTTTATTTTTTTATTAGTCTATATAGTATTTATTTTAATTATTACATCGCTCACGGCGGCCCAGGTCGGTGCGGAGGACGTTAGGGAAATAATTATTCTAAGCCCTTCCGTCACAGAGCCTTCAGTGCGCGCTGTGTCCTGCCGAAAACATAGGCAGGATGCACCGCGATGGTCGCCGGGATGGAATCTTTAAAAGGGTGGGGGAGGCACAAAGATTATATAAAACATTTAAAAATAAATCATAAAAACATTAATTATAAAATCATTCGTAAATGTGCGGTGTGTGATTACATTGGCGACGGGGTGTATGCCCATCGCCGTGTAACCATGCACCATAAAAAGATGCATATGCCTCCGTCCCCCCCCCCCGAAATATGCAAGTTCACCCACGGACGCCCCAACCACCACCTTGTATACCTTCTCCACTCTCTAACTCTGACTACAGGGATTCATTCGCAAACGTCGTGCGGAGGCGGGTGACAAGATCCCAGTCTAGGGTCCCCCCAACGCTATTTTGGAGAAGGACCCCACCACCCGCAACTTCCTCTCCATCACAACCATCAGCCACCGAGCCCCTTCAAGATGAAGAAGCACAACGGCGGGTGACAAGGTCACAATCGAGGGGTGTTCGAACACCATCAAGGAGGAGGACGCTGTCACCCGCCCGTCCCTCTCCAACACGACTAACAGCGTTGGAGCACCTCCTGGAGGAGGGGAAGAGATCCGTCGGCCCGCCCCTCCCCACGCCGCGGAGTCCACCTCCCACATCAGCGAGGAGGGCCTTTAGGGGGTCTCTCTYCCTGCGTCAAATGGGAGTCCGTAGAAGGGTTGTGTACTCTTTACCGCTGTCGCCAGAGCAGGAAGTGGCCACGAGCTGCGCTCTAGCGACACTCACTACAGCCAGTACTACCACTACCACCTGTATGGGCTTCCTTCTATCTACCAGGGCCCCCTTAACACAGAGAAGTCCCCCAGTACGGCCGCACATACCATCCAGGCGGCCACCAACACCACCCCAGCGGCTGCCAACACTACCAGAGCGGCCGCCGACGCCACCAGAGCGGCCGCAGACACAATTGGAACAGAGGTTGGCAAGGGTACCAGGAAGGAGGACAGAACCTCAGGGGCGGACTCCGCCTCCATCAAGTGAGGGAGAGCAAGAAGAGGAATGGAGGCTGGTGTGGTGTGGAAGAATAGGTGGAGGGGGAAGAAGAGGAAGAAGAGGAAAGCCGACGTCCCCCGGGTCCGATTTAAACCCTGAGAAACCAACCGGAAACCGTCCTGACCCTGGGGGTCCCTTTTTTTAACGTCAAATTGGAGTCCCCCAATTCAATTTGCGGAAGCACAGAGCCTTTTGTGAATAAAATGACAGGCTCTTAAAAAATAATCAGTTTTTCTTCAAAGAAATTGTATAAATTTATTTTTCTACTAAAACGTGCTAATAACGAATTGGCGACGACTACGTATTTGATTATGAATCAATTAAATCCAATCTAATATTGAATATACAGAAATACTATATCATATATTATATGAAATAGTAATCCTAAAGAAAGTGACATATACTTAGCATTATACAATTTTTATTCCTGTGCTTATAACTTAACCCTTAGCCGACACACTGGGGTCGTTCGCGACCGGGCCCTATACTTTTCAAATTTCCCCCCACTTAATGTTCGGAAACCGGGTCCGTAGTGCCATATAGTTGTAGTTGGAGAGTAGCTATTTCGCTTAGTATAGTTTCCAGTGAGTCAAGTGCGTCAGTCTGTCTGTGACACCTGAGTGAATTGGAGCGGGGTCATCAACGACCCCAGAGTGTCGACTACGACTGAAATTGATTTTTTTTTCCAATTTTTGTTTCGATGGGATTTGTGCTACAAATTGTCAAAGAAGGTGAGTAAACTATGTTTTGAAAGTGTGATTTTTTTTTCTTCACAAAGTAATAGTATTTTGAATATTGTAAGATGGCCTACAACCTTCGACGTCGCATGATTCGGCAAGAGCTCCTCGATGGGACGCAAGAAGTTCCTTTCGAGGACGAAGAGGCTCAAGAGAGCGAAGGAAGTGAAAGTGGAGAAGTTTCTGAGCATGAATCGGAATATTCCGACGCTACGGATGCGTCCTCAGAATAGGACGTAGACATGGAAGACGTCACTTTGGACAAGCGTCTTTTGGAGTCAAGGGCTGACAATTCCAATGACAAGTGTACCATCAGTTTCCTTGAGAAACTTTCATTGCACCTGATGAGACCTTATTTACTGAAAAAGTACAACGACACGGTCACTTTGCGCCGTGACTTGAAACTCGGCATTGCCGGGATTCTGAGCTTAGACGTTCACAAAGGAGGAGGATACGAACGAGTGAAATTTCCGTAGAGACTGAGATGTGCAGACTGTTTCCGAAAATCAGATAAAAAAACGAGTGAGGGTTGCGTAAGTTGTCAGCGCCCAATCTGCGAAGTTCACCGTTTGATGTTTTGCCAAACATGTTCGGGCATGTAATAATAATATTTTCATCA